ACATCTCTTTTTGGGGGACACAGTTCAACTCCTAACACATACTTTCAGATCAAGGAACCTCTATACTGCCCTTGCTTTAGTAGTTACGCTATATTAAATACATTCACCACCCACCTGGCTGATAGCCTGCCTATATAAAATGTCTGTAAGTAGGAGGCTTCAGGTTATGTAAAACCAATTAAGTCATGACTGTAAGTTCTGCAGTGAGATCAGTTAACATATTTTAGCTCTATTTTGGATTGAGAGCAGTTAGAACTAAGTATCCAGGCTATTGAGAGTAAGAGAATCCCAGTATGATGTAGGTAGGTATTGCACATCCTTAGGAAAAAATACAGCCTCATGATATTTTGATAAAGATGGAAACAACACCTTTGTAAAATGGTAGAAACTTAAAGAATTGTGCAGCCAAGCAAATCTTGTTATGGGCTTGCTTATTGGATTTAAAAGTGGGAGAGTTGGAGGTAGTTATGGTTTCCATGGTATATTCTGCCAGCGATGGCTGTGTTTGAGCATCTGCCCATAGAGCGAGCGGCCCGTGCCAAGTTCCGGCTTACCCTCACCTAGTCTCCCCTCGGAGAGCAGCTCACTGGGTCGTGCTACTGAGTGATTCTCCCGGCAGCTTCCCAGGAGGAGTGACGTCCGGGCTTACAGAGGTGGAACCTGAGTTTCCAGGAGGCGAAAATGTCCCTGAGGTCTCAGAGGTGTAGGTGGTTCCAGGTCTGTCTGGATTCCAGACATTCAAGGGGCTCCTCCATGCAGTGTCCCCCATGGTCAGCCTCCTGAAACACAGAGGGTTAGCCTGTCACTACTGTTGTATATTTCACATTCAAAGCCTCTCAGCCTCATTCAGGGATTGGAAATAAAATATTAAGTAACTGTTGGGGGAATTGTAACGGGGATCTGGAAGACCTCAGATTCAGTGTTATTCCTCTGCTTGGGAGAGTTATTAGAGTTGTGTTTGGATATTCTCATTTTCTCCCTTGCTTATGAGGTAGGATTGCTCTTTCTTGTCCCCTGTGAAGGTAGGTATGGCCATGTGGCTTGTTTTGTCTAAAGAAATAGTAGCGGAAGTAACCCCTGGGTCCTTCCAGCAGAGGTTCCTCTAGCAGGTGTGAAATGTAGATTGTCCCAGCACAAGTGGGGTGGGGTGGGGTGGGGGGGTAGGGGAGGGAGGAACCTCCCTCTACCTGGCCCCAGGTCCCTGAGTGACTGTGGTGAGCAAAGCCCCTGCCAGCTCAGCCTGGATGAGGAGATGAGCAGAATGTGCAGCAAAGAGACTCTGGTTTTGTTAAGCCCCTGAGATTTTGGAACTCTGTATCTGCTGCATATTCTAGTTCAGCGGTTCTCAACCTGTGGGTCACGACCCCTTTGGGAGTCGAACGACCCTTTCACAGGGATCGCCTAAGACCATTGGAAAACACATATATAATTACATATTGTTTTTGTGATTAATCACTATGCTTTAATTATGTTCAATTTGTAACAATGAAATTGGGGGTCACCACAACATGAGGAACTGTATTAAAGGGTCGCGGCATTAGGAAGGTTGAGAACCACTGTTAGTTCACTGTGGCTGATTCAACAAATTAAAGATCATAACATACAAAGTGGAAGTTCACCAAGAGTTTCCAGTAGAGACAGTTATTTGGAAAATAACTCTTTAAAGCCTCTTGCAGGAGACTCTCTTACCATGTCTAAAATATTAAAACGAAAAGCCTGAAGAACAGCTTTGCTGCATGAAAGTTTGGAAGCCAGAGCAGTATTAAATTCCGGGGTGGTTGGATAACCATCTCATTCTGTGACATTATTTTTGTCGTCCTATATTGCAAACGTTGGTCCACCAAGAAATGTTTGTTCATTGTTCTTGCACTAAAGAAAATAATTTGACAGGTAAGGAAGGAGGAGGAAATTGGTGGTTGGGAAACCAGAGGACACAGGGAACAGTGACACCTTTATCCAGGCAGCACCGAGAGAACAATAACAGGGTTTTACTCTTAATTTCTGTTGCAAGAGGAGCATGCGTTAAAGACAGATATTCCATTACATTTAGTATCTTGTTTCTAGCCTGGAGTTGCAGGCATAACCCAGCTTTAAATTCTGCTTTGCCTTGCAGTCACTCCGTTGAGTGTGTGAAAAGTCTTTGTTTATTCATGATGGCTTGCACTTATATCTCACTCTACAGACAATAAACTCCATTTTTAACGAACAAAGCCACGGTTTTAGAAACTGAGAGCTGTTGCAACTTGACAAGAGACATTTTCCTACATTTCCCCTAGAGTTGGAATAAGATAAATGACAATGGATACTGAGGAGTTTATTAGATTTCAGGAAATTTGTAAGATTCAGAATATTGGTGATCTGCCATATATTTACACTGCCTAGTTTAATCTTTGACCCAACATCAACTTTCATTTGATATCCTACTATTTGTTATATTACTATTTAAAGATTTCTCTGACATAAACTTCATTGAGATAAAAGGAGGCGTTGCCTCTTAAACTAGGGTCAAACGGTGTCACACCGTTTATTATTAGGAGTACTAATAATTGCAAGACTTTTATGCTTTTAGCATAGGAATAATAATTTTCCAGTATTTTGGTCTTTTAAGATGTAACATGTATGAGGTCATTTTTGTCATTTTAATATTCTTCTCGAGAATATCGTAACTAATATCAGCTGTAGAGATGATCTAGTTCGGGAATCCTTGTTTCCTTGAAGGGGAATCTTCTTCAAACGTTACCTGGCGTGGCATCCAGAATGCAATGTAGATTCTTAAAACAATAAAATTTTATCATTTCAAACATACTTACTATTGGGTCCATTGGTGAGGGGAAAACTACTCTTTTGAACAACAAAAAGACTTCATTGAAAGGGGCCTTGGCCTTCACTTTGTATTTTGTTTCGTGTGGCAAGTATTTGAATTACATGGTAAGTGGCTGCAAGTGGTAACAGTTTTTATGGGTGTGTTTTACAAGGTGCACTCCTAATCCTTAGGAGACTCCAGTTTTGTAGGACCACAGAAAAGTTAATGTAGTAGCACGGGTTAATGAAATGTAAAACTGTTGAGCTTGAGTGTTATTGTTTTTTAAATCTAGCTTTACGGTAGTTAGCGAAAAAAATTACAGAATCCCCAAATTGCATAGAATAACATTTGAAAACTACTAATTATGCTGTATGTAACAGTATCTCTAGTATAGATTCTGGTTGTACTATTTTTTTTTTTTTTTTTAGAAAAATTGTCAAATATTGGAGAAAATGTGAAAATATCTCTCATTGAAAAGAGTTAGGTTAGCATGAGTTAAATACTTATTAAAAAATAAGGTATGTTCTGGAAGTTGCAGAAATTTTTTTTAAATTTCCATTTTACACAATAGTAAGAGTGATTGCTAGCTCAGCCCACAAATTATTTATCCCATAAGTGACTTAAGTAATAATATTTTGCTATCTTTTGATTATATATGCACTTTTAAATTAGCTTGGCATTCTATTTGTGTTGGGTTTTGTTTTTAAATTCTCATCAAGGGATGTGTTTATTAATTTTAGAGAGAGAAAGGAAGAGGGAGAGAGATATCAATTGATTATAGGCACCCCGATCAGGGGTGGAACTCCCAACCTAGGGATGTGCCCTGACCGGGAATTGAACCCGCACCCTTTTGGTGTGTGGGACAATGCTCCAACTAAATGAGCCACCTGGCCAGGGCTAGCTTGGCATTCTAAAGATCCTCATGGCTATTTCAGTGGGCTTTTTAAAACTCTGATTTGTAGTCCAGGATTGGAAACTTTCCACTCCCACTGTGTGGTAGCTAAGGAGAGTGAGGTTTTTTTTTATTCCCTGGTTGGAGAATTTTTATCTGTGTACGAACGCAACTACTGTCTCCTCTTTGAAGAAGAATCATAGATCCCAGTGTTTGAAAGGAATTCTGAAGGTGGCCTACTTTGGTTCTGTGCTTTTACGTACATGGTTTTGTAAAGCTGTGCAAAGAGGAAACTTTGCCAAAAGCAAACACATTTGGCACTCCTTTAGCAAGCTGGATATTTAAAGGAACCCCGTGGCAAATACTTTTGCAAGGTAAATGCTCCTCTAAGGTGACATCTGGGTAGTGGGAAAGCTCCTGGGGCTTTATTATTTTTTTAAAGTATATTTTTGTTGATTTCAGAGAGGAAGGGAGAATAAGAGAGAGATAGAAACATTAATGATGAGAACCATTGATCGGCTGGCTCCTATACGCCCCCTATGAGGGTTTGAGCCTGCAACCCTGGCATGTGCCCTGACCAGGAATCAAACCGTGACCTCCTGGCCCATAAGTGACACTCAGCCACTGAGCCACGCCCACCTAGCAGCTCTTGGAGTTTTAAAAAGCCTTTGGAACTCTGCTGCATTCCCCCTCCCCACCCCTACCCCACCGCAGCCCCTATGACAGTAATTAGTGCAGTGGGTCCTCCTTGAGGACAATGTCCAGTCTCTAAGCAGCCAGTGGCCCCAGTCCCCCTGTGATCCAGGGCATCAGGCCTCCTGTTTACCTGCCACTCGGAGGTGCCAGGCATTCCTCTGTGGACTGGCAGGCATCTCAGACTGCCACCAGCTTCATATTAAATTCAGCACAATGACTATAGGCTGTTTGGCACCAAAGTTAAAATGAGAGCATTATCACCAGTGATTTCTCATGCCACTTCCAGCTGACACAAGTCTAGGAAACAAGCCTAGCACGAGGATTGCTTACGGGTTTTGATGTGGAATTACATAGGCAGTTGTGTGTCAAAAATTGACGCGGAGCGTTGCTGTGAGGTTTGAAGGTGGTCCCTGTAAAATATAGGAGCTTGGCATGGAGTGTGTAGTAGTTGCTGTACTAATTCTTAGTCATTTTTATCATTTCATTTTTATTATTGTTTTGAAGTCTTATTATGCCTAGGAAAGTGTTACCAGAAGCGGTAAATAAAGAGGAGTAAAGGCCTTCTGGTTCCTAACGCCCTTTCTGCATTCCGTCCTGTGCCCCCTGCAGAGTGTGATAAGCTGCGGCGGGATGGCTACCGGAGCTCTCAGTACTACTCCCAGGGACCCACCTTCGCCAGCGCCGGCCCACCCAGCGAGGAGTATCAAGATGAGGATGATGAAACCGATCAGAAGGTAAGGCTTCTAAATTCAACATGGGATCCCAGAACAGAAAAAGGAGATAAGTGGGAAAACTGGTGAAATTAGAACAGGGGTGGGCAAACTTTTTGACTCGAGGACCACAATGGGTTCTTAAACTGGACCGGAGGGCCGGAACAAAAGCATGGATGGAGTGTTTGTGTGAACTAATATAAATTCAAAGTAAACATCATTACATAAAAGGGTACGGTCTTTTATTTCAATAGTTTTATTCATTTCCAACGGGCCGAATAGTTTGCCCACGGCTGAATTAGAACAAAGTGTGTGTGCTTTTTAGTTTAATAGTATTATCTCAAGTAAACGGCTTAGTTTTGATAAGTGTGCCATGGTTTTGCAGCACATCAACATTAAGGGAGACTGGGTAAGGGTACACAAGGAATTCTCAGTACTATCTTTTGTAAATTTTCTCGAGAGCTAAAATTAGTCTGGAAGAAAAAAAAAGTTCCTGATCCAAAGAAGTTATTAAAGGAGTATAATCAATATATTTGTGCATTTTGAATACTCTCTTTTGGGTAAAAGAAATAAAGTATCTTATTTCTGTTGTTTTGCTTTTTTCATGTGACCAAGAACCTAGTGAGATTACAAAGAAGAGCTCTAAGTATAGCAGCATAGATTCAGCATGGGCAGTGCTTTTACTTAATATGATAGCGCTGGGCAGTTCGCTTTTGTGATGTTGTTTGGTATCTGCATTCCTTTTTCTCACGCCATCTTTTGTGATATGTGCAAACTACTTAAGACAAATATATTTCTCAGTACTAAATGCACATGAAAGAATAAAAATGTATGGAGATTTTTAACTTACATAGTTTTATTTTTCATTTTATTAAGAAATGACTGACACAAATTACTTAAACAAATAAGGTTTGATGAACAGAGTTTGCTTTAGAAACCATTTTAAATTAACCTAAGAAATTTCAGTGGAATTTAGGTCAATACATCAAAGTCTTATTGTTTGGAGAACATTATCTAGAATTTATTATCCTCTCTCAAGTAACATCAGAGAAAAAAAGTAGGTAACAGTTGTTCAAAAATAGAAAATTACTACCTTAAACTTTTGGTTTTCTAATGAAGATTAGACCCAAGTTTTTATTACAGAACTAGAGGCCCTGTGCACGAATTGATGCGCCAGTGGGGTCCCTCGGCTTGGCCTGCAGAATTGGGCTGAAACTGGCTCTCCGACATCCCCTGAGGGGTCTCGGATTGCGAGAGGGCACAGGCCAGGCCAACTAACCACACCAGTGCATGATCAGAGCTGGGGAGGGACACAGGAGGTTGGCCAGCCAGTGAAGAACCGCAGGAGGGCTCCAGGGTGTGTCCAGCCCATCTTGCTTAGTCCCGATCAGCTGGACCCCAGCAGCAAGCTAACCACTGGTCCGAGTGTCTGCCCCCTGGTGGTCAGTGCACATCATAGCGAGCGGTTGAGCGACCTTAGCATATCATTAGCATATTATGCTTTGATTGGTTGAATGGCCAGCCAGTCATCCGGACACTTAGCATATTAGGCTTTTATTGTGTAGGATAGCCTATCATTAGCATATTACGCTTTGATTGGTTGAACAGCCAACCAGTCAACCGGACACTTAGCATATTTGGCTTTTATTATATAGGATATCTTTCCTATTTCTGTAAAGGTGTTTGGACATATTAGGTTAATCCTTTGAAACTATAAAATACACAAAGAAAGTTTCTTACTATAATAGGAAAGCAGTTATTTCAAAGTTGACCTGGTCTTTAATTTAAAAGCCTATTTTTTTCTCTTGTTGATATGAGTTAGAAAAATAAAAAAAAAATCAGAAGAATTATATCATGAGGGTGTTGTTTTGATTTAAAAATTTTTTCAGGTTTATTGAAGTATAATTGACAAATAAAATTGTATCTAGTATGATGATTTGACAAAAATATACTTTATGAAATGATCATCACACTCAGGTTAATGAACACATCCATCCCCTCACATAGTCACCGTGTGTGTGTGTGTGTGTGTGTGTGTGTGAGAGAGAGAGAGAGAGAGAGAGAGAGAGAGAGAGAGAGAGAGAGAGAGATGAGAGCGCTGAAGGTCTATTCTCTTAGCAAATTTCAAGTACACAGCACAGTATTATGTACTGGACTGCAGGGGTCCTCAAACTACGGCCCGTGGGCCACATGCAAATACAAATATTGTATTTGTTCCTGTTTTGTTTTTTTACTTCAAAATAAGATATGTGCAGTGTGCATAGGAATTTGTTCATAGTTTTTTTTTTAAAACTATAGTCGGCCCTCCAGCGGTCTGAGGGACAGTGAACTGGCCCCCTGTTTAAAAAGTTTGAGGACCCTGCATAACTGGATACATTAGATCCCAAGGAGCTTGCTCATAGCAGACTGAAGGCCCGTACCCTTTGACCAGTGTTTTTCCATCTCCTTCACCTGTGAGATTTTAAAAACCCAGCTGTACTTCAGCCTTTCTGTGGTGCTCAGGGAAGGGGAGCATTTAGTTTACAGTGGGACCTGGAGAGACAGGTGGTTTCTGGGTGCAGCCTAGTGAGTATGCAGAATCCTTGGTGCAAATCGGCAAATCGGCATTCCAAGACCACATTCTACGATCTTCCTGGGAAATGGAAGCATAGTTTCTAAATTCTCACACAGCTATTTAGTTCCCAGATGCCTGAGAGAAGTTCAGTCTCTGTGAAAGAGTTTCTACTCTTACGCACATTGGCACGGACTCCTCCAAGCAGCCTCTCCCAAACATGCGAGAGAGTGTGGACAGGTCATTGGCCCTTAGAAAACAAGGCTCCTGTCCTGTTGGAAATAAGTCAGGGATCATGATTACACACACACACACACACACACACGCACACACACACGCACACGACATGGCATGTCCTAGTAAGCATAAGAAGTACCTTATTCTGGAGGAGAACCAAGATGGCGGCATAGGCTAACGCCGGAGTTTGCTGCTTTGAACAACTACTTCAAAAGTGAAACCAAAAAACGGAAGGGACATCACCCAGAACCACAGGAACGCTGGCTGAGTGGAAGTCCTACAACTAGGAGGAAAGAGAAACTCATACGGACACTCAGAGGAGGCACAGTGCTGAAGTCAAATTCTGAGGTGCGGAGTGCGCGGAGCGGGCTGGCGGCGGAGGGCGCGGTTGGCGCAGACTCTGAGCTCCAGATCCGGGCGAGTCTTTAGGGACCCAGACTCAAACGGGAGAAGCGGGACTGTCTGGCTTCGGTCAGAGCGAGTGCAGCTTTCTCTCTGAGCTTTGCAGCGGGTGCTGGGACTCAGAGAGGCAGAGCCCCTGGGGACAGGACTGAGAGCCGCCATAACTGCTCTCTCCAGCCCACCCTGTTGATCCTGTGCGACCCGCCCCGCCCAAGCCCTGCACACAGGCATTTGCCGGATAGCCTCAGGCAAACGCCAGATTAGCACCTCCCTAGAGGACAGAAGTTCTCTCACTGCTGACACAGCTGATTCTCATAGCCACTTGGCCTGGAGGTCAAACCCTCCCTGGAATTAGCTACAACAATCAAGATTTAACTATAAGACTGCGAACAAAGACCACTAGGGGGTGCACCAAGGAAGCATAACAAAATGCGGAGATAAAGAAACAGGACAAAATTGTCAATGGAAGATAGAGAGTTCAGAACCACACTTTTAAGGTCTCTCAAGAACTGTTTAGAAGCCATCGATAAACTTAATGAGATCTACAAGAAAACTAATGAGACCCTCGATCTTATATTGGGGAACCAACTAGAAATTAAGCATACACGGGCTGAAATAACGAATATTATACAGACTCCCGACAGCAGACCAGAGGAGCGCAAGAATCAAGTCAATGATTTGAAATGCGAGGAAGCAAAAAACACCCAACCAGAAAAGCAAAATGAAAAAAGAATCCAAAATGCGAGGATAGTGTAAGGAGCCTCTGGGACAGCTTCAAGCGTACCAACATCAGAATTATAGGGGTGCCAGAAGATGAGAGAGAGCAAGATATTGAAAACCTATTTGAAGAAATAATGACAGAAAACTTCCCCCACCTGGTGAAAGAAATGGACTTACAGGTCCAAGAAGCGCGGAGAACCCCAAACAAAAGGAATCCAAAGAGGACCACACCAAGACACATCATAATTAAAATGCCAAGAGCAAAAGATAAAGAGAGAATCTTAAAAACAGCAAGAGAAAGAAACTCAGTTACCTACAAGGGAATACCCATACGACTGTCAGCTGATTTCTCAACAGAAACTTTGCAGGCCAGAAGGGAGTGGCAAGAAATATTCAAAGTGATGAATACCAAGAACCTACAACCAAGATTACTTTATGCAGCAAAGCTATCATTCAGAATTGAAGGTCAGATAAAGAGCTTCACAGATAAGGAAAAGCTAAAGGAGTTCATCACCACCAAACCAGGATTATATGAAATGCTGAAAGGTATCCTTTAAGAAGAGGAAGAGGAAGAAAAAGGTAAAGATACAAATTATGAACTCTCTCGCAAATATGCATCTATCAACAAGTGAATCTAAGAATCAAGTGAATAAATAATCTGATGAACAGAATGAACTGTTGATTATAATAGAATCAGGGACATAGAAAGGGAATGGACTGACTATTCCTGGGGGGGAAAGGGGTGTGGGAGATGCGGGAAGAGACTGGACAAAAATCGTGCACTTATAGATGAGGACAGTGGGTGGGGAGTGAGGGCGGAGGGTGGGGCGGGAACTGGGAGGAGGGGAGTTATGGGGGGAAAAAAAAGAGGAACAAATGTAATAATCTGAACAATAAAGATTTAATTAAAAAAAAAAAAGATTAACCAATGGACACAAGACACCGGGGGGGGGGGGGGGTAGGGGCCGGGGAAATGTCAAGGGGGGGTGGGGAGACATATGTAATACTCTTTGTAATACTTCAAGAAATAAAAATTATAAAAAAAAAAAGAAGAAGTACCTTATTCTATCATTTCTCGGCAGTTTAACATCTGATACGGATTTTTTGAGCAGGG